CTGTTATCTGAGAAATTATTTCTGTTTTCATTTTTTCCAGATCCTCTTTTGTTGCCAGTTCAGGGTGTCCAGGTGGTTGAGTATCAGAGTGTTCCATCTCCTTTCCCTTTGGGGTTGCTGTAGGTGATCTGCATGTCTGGTTTTGAGACTTATTTACATGTCTTTCACATTTCAAGAGATGCAGCCTGCTGTGTCTTTGTTGAGGCAACTTATTTCTCACCCAGTTGTCTTCAGTTCTTAGCAAGCCACAGAGCTGCCTTTTCTCTGCTGCTCACCAATACACTAATTCCTGGGTTCAGAGTGGTGGCCTTCTGGATCCCTGAGCTGACTTGTTGTCTGGGTGGGCTTCTGGCTGAAGCCTGTGCACACTTGGGATGGTATCTAGATGTGCCACTGGCTAGGGCCCCTATGTAGCTGTTGTCTGGGAGGGCCTTTGGCTGGGGGCTGTGCACCCCAGTTCCTGTTATGTGAGCACACTTCTGTCTAGGGTCTTGCGCACTTACCGATGTTACTGGGGTGAACCTCTGGCTGTTGCTTGTGTGCCTGTGCAGCTCTTATCCAGGCAGGCCCTTGGCTTGGGCCAGTGTGCCCCAGCCTCTGGGGTTGGGGTGGAGCCCTGGCTGGGATCTGCTTCCAGCTATGCTGCTCTGGTCCACACTGCTGCTCCCTCAACTAAGGTGGTCTGGTGTGTCTTTATTGCAGAGATTTTCTTCACTTTTCCAGTGGGCTTTAATTTTCATCTTTCTGTTGTTCACTTCTACTCTATCTTCTCAAGCTCAGAACAATGTCCTTTTTGACCCCTGTAACTCTGTGTTGTGGATCCAGGTAATGGCTTGGCACAGCCAGGGGATGGGGTGGGGTTCTGGTGCCCACATGGCTTACCTCCTCGGCTCTCTGGGGTGGTGGTATGGCCCTGATTTCATATCATTTTTTTACCTTTTTATGCAATATTATTTCCTTCTGAAACAGGAATAGTAACATGAATATAATTTTTTAGCAATTGGATGAATATCTGTTATACTTGTGTAAGTATTTTTAGTGAAAGGTTAATTTGATTCTGTTTTCTACACTAATACATAACTTTGATAGGTTACTTTTTACTTTGTTTTATTAGATGTCCTCTCCTAGTAATGAGATAAATTACCAGAGTCCTTTATCACTTTGTTCACCAAAAGGGAAGTCTGTGTCCACACCCATATCAGCCAAAATAACTTCAAAGTCTTCTGAGGGAGAGAAATCAATGAATGACCCAAAAAACTGCAAAAAAAGAAGAGCCCTGGATTTTCTGAGTCGCGTGCCTTTACCTCCACCTATGAGTCCCATTTGCACATTTGTTTCCCCAGCTGCACAGAAGGCCTTTCAGCCACCACGGATTTGTGGCACCAAGTATGAAACACCTATAAAGAAAAAGGAATTGAATTTTCCTCAGATGACTCCACTTAAAAAAGCCAATGAAGTTTCTCTTTTGGAAAGCAATTCAATACCTGATGAAGAATTTGCAATGATAAATACCCAAGCCCTCCTGAATAGTTCTTCAGGAGAAAATCAACCTCTGTCTATCAGTGAATCCACCAGGACTGCTCCTTCCAGTTCAGAAAATTATCTTGGACAGAAAAGTCATTATACTATGTCTCTGGTCAAAGGGCAAGAGAATTCACAAGCCAGCGCAGAAGAATGTAAGAGCAACATGCAGGACACAAGTAGGATAAAGAATATATCTAAGAGATTGCAAAGGCGACAAAAACATAAATAATAATACTCTTAACCTTTCCAGTCTGTAGTATAACTTCAAACTGCCTATCAGTATTTACATAACAAGGCATAAGTTTCACAGTTTCGATTTGCATATCACAATGTTCTTTGCTTGATTCTGTTTTCAGTTGTATGTCTTAAAATTGTACATTAACTAATCAAAAATCTCATTTAAATATTTAGATTTGATCACAAAAATATTATTTTATAAATAAACATCTTTTTCGATTTGTGTCATTGAATAATTGAAACAAAGGTTCTAAATATAGCTATTTAATTCCAATTTTAGGAGTTTTTTAGAAGTAACTTACTATGAAAGTTGTCTTAAATACATGTATTGGTTTCTGGTATAGTTCCACCCTGTCCAAAAATCAGAATGAATAAAGATATTACAGTCAGGTTTTATTCAGGCCAATTCCTTATCCTTAAGTCAGCATGATACAAAAAAAATAGAACCCTTGAGGTAACTCTTTTGTATGATCCTAGTGTGATCCCTAAAATTAATTACTTCAGTTAAAAATTCAAATTATTTAAGTCAGAATCAGATTTTATAATTAATTTTTAAAAACAAACCAGTCATCCAGATTGGAACTTCAGAAACTGTCTTGCTTTCAAATTGGTTTTGATATACCTGCTAGAATGTACTGTCTGTTAAACCTACTACCAAGTCAAAAGTAACAAGAAACATTTGTTACTGTCTTATGTTTACAATAAAGTTCTAACTGGGAGCTACATAATAGTTTGAAGAAGCTCTTAAACCAGGTGTTTTAATATGTCTTAAATGTATGTATATCATGTATTCAAATCTAATTATAAACACATTTCAATCCAAGAATGTCTTTTTTTTTTTTTTTGAGACAGTCACACTGTGTACTTCAGGCTGACCTTGAATGTAGCCTAGGCTGGCCTGAACTTGGAACAATCCTCCTACTTCAGCCTCCTGAGGGCTAGGATTACAAACACGTGCCACCAAGCCCAGCTAAAAGAATAAATCCTTTAAAAAATCAAATTGTGAAGCTTGGCATGGTAGTACACACCTATAATCCTAGCACTATGGAAAGCAGAGGCAGGAAGATTACAAATTCAAGTCCAGCCTACTCAATTTAGGGATTTGGTGAGACCCTGTCTCTAAATCAAGAATAAAAAAGGGCTAGAGATTATAGCTCAGTGCAGAGGCCCTGGGTTCAATCCCTAGCACCAATTAGAAAATATATTAACTTGTGGGCTGGTATTGTAACTCAAAGTATCTGGGTTCCATCCCCAGCACCACAAAAAAAAAGTTTCTTTAACTGTGATCCATGATTGATCTCTCTTCTAAAAATCATTAACATAATAGTCAATTCTGATATTAAGTGTTCTGCTAGTCTTATTGCAACTTCACTTTTGTTCATAAAACACTATGGCGGCTTCACATCCTAATCTCCCAGTGTTCTACTCTAGAAGAGGGAGTAAAACTAGAGTCTCACATGAACAGAAAGAATTTTATTTTTAAGGATTTAACCACAAACTGCTCTTACCTCCTTTATTCTCATTCTCATTCAGACCACCCATTGTAGACATCTAAAGCATACACTCCCTTTTATGAATTATAAATAACATCCAAGCTACATGAACAAAGTGTAAAGCCTGAATGTATATGTACATTACCCTCTCAAGTGGCAATACTTTCAAAGTTGTCAGTGTAAAAGTTTGTGTTATTTATTCAACAGTCACTTAATGAGAGCATATTGTGTTTACAGAGTACTTGCCAGCTCTGTGAATAATGCAAACAGTAACACAAAGTAATGCAAGTCAATGTTAGGTGTTCAAAAGATGATATAAATCAGAAGCCATGGGAGTTGAAAACCAGATCATTCTAGACAAGATAAAATTGGTGCCATTTAGTTACCAAACCAAGTATTTCAGAGGTCATCTAGAGAAAGAGACATAAATGGGCCAGGAAACTATCAGAGCTGTAGAGAACCTCTGGATCTGTGGCCCGGAGCCACTTTGTGATGGTTACCTCCCTCAGCCCATGTGAACCAAAAGCCCACAGAACCAGCCAGCCAAACCAGGGGTACTTGAATCTGGCCCTTTGGACTACTGTGGACTTGAAGGACTCCTCAGACACTTCCCTGTAACATATATGAAGCCATCCTTTTTGAGCTGGTTCTGCAGTAATCATATATTCACTCAGAATTACCCGGGCCTGGAAAGTGGATTGCTATTACAGGGTTACTGTGTGTTATACTTAAACAGAATTTTTAAAAACTATAACAGCAGCTTAGGTTCATTACAATGTATTTTATGTCTCTTAGCCAAGTTTTATTGTTCAACAGATATACCAATTTTTAAAATGTTAATGAAAAAATTACAAATGCATCAGAATGTTGAATAGATTTCCACAATGTTAATGGAATGTTAAAATAGTCTTTTTTCTTTTTTTGAGGCAGGGTCTTGTTCTGTAGCCCAGGCTGTCCTCAAACTCACAGTGGTCTTCCTGCCTTAGCCTCCAAAGTGCTGGGATTACAGACACCGTGCCAGGCTAAAATAGACTTTCTATTGTGTACAGATGTATATAAGCAAGAAAATAATCAAGTTGCTTTTGTCTTTACATTTATGCCTCCTATTAGACTTGTAATTAAGCTTACGATATAGAAAAATTCATTATCATATGATTGAATTCGTTGGGATTTAGGTAAATTTATTGAACCAAAAAAATTCAATGACAAATCTATATAAATGCGATACCATATACAATTTTAATAACCATAAAAGCACCATTATATAAGACACTTAAAATAATTCACAGAACAGTAGAAGCTGTTGGCCAACAATACATAGAGCGAGCATACATCCTATGGTCTTGTCCATCATCGTTTTACACCAAATTAATCTTATCTTTGCTGGGATTTAATTTGGATTCATATTATCTATATGAGACATTCCAAAGTTGTGGAAGAACTTTATTGTCTCAAATGATGCCATATAAAACATCCAGACTGCTCATCTTTTGATGAGCTTGGTTTTACATACTCATGTGATCTATATATATCCTGGGCTACTTAATTCCTTGTACTCCCAAATATTGGGTGCCAAGTAATTACATTTATAGGCATGATTTTAGAAATTGCTTAATTGTTCCTCTTAAAATTGATGTTTTATGAAGGCAGGTTAATTTTATTTACACAATAAGACAACAGACAAAAGTTAGGTTTAATCCTGTTGAATAAAGTAGTTAAACAAAGCATTACAAATAATGACACTGATTTTCCTGAATCACTTGTGTAGCAATCAAGGTTCCACAGACATTTTAAGAGTAATCATTAAAATAAGAAACTTCCCAAAGTGTCCACTTTGAAGAACAATATTCCCTTATCTATAAACTTTCTAGCCTGTTTCAAAGGAAAATCAGTATCATTAGTCACATATCTCATATGTTTGGATACATAGATGATCAAGTAGCAGTGGCACTAAAAACATTTTCTGCCTCTTGCTTCTCCCCTACCTTTCTCACTTCCTGGTAGAGATGAAGTGTTTAAAAAGATACATGAATTAATAAAATGGCACTGAAAGGTAAGTATAACAAATACTTTCGTGTATGAACCTATGTGACTAATTGGTTATGATCTTGGATTTCAGTTTCAAATTAATTCTTCCCCTAGAGAAAGACTTTAATCAAATCTGCAGAATGCCCAGCATCAGACCATGCACACAGGTGCACTTTTAACAAGTTCTTGATGATAATGAATATAGTGACCTCTGCTCAGAAACTTTGGGGTTTGACTATTTACACTGGAATCAGAGCTCTGCTAAAACTGAACAAATAATAAATACCAAAAATTGAAGTAAAAACTTATTTAGGAAAATTCTGAATGGCTGTAAGATAGGCCTCTAATATCCATGGTGACAACCACCCCTTCTGCTAAAGGAGCTCTCATTTGTAAAGCTACCATGAGCCCTCCGGTTTGGAAACTCTACATAGGAATTCCAATATCCTGCACCATTGGAAGGTGATGCATTATTCCTGTCCTGGTTTCTGTTCATTCTGGTTGGTTTTTCTGCATGAAGTACACTGTGAAAGGTAACATTATGTTCATACCGTTCTTTCATTCGGTGTATTTTTTCTCTTGGGACTCCATGAATGTTTCTTCTACATGGAAAAAAAAATTATCATTTAGTTAAGGCAGAAATATCAAAGTGCTTTACTTTTTGCATTGCATAAATATCACTATCCTCAGGACATAACTAGCAAAAGCATATCTTGCTATTCCATTATCTTTCAGGCTCTATTCCTGTTTTTCATGCTGCCTTGCATACCTTCAAACTACCTTGAGGCTAGCCTCAGAAATGCTTTGCTTCTGGTAATCTCAATTATGTGCTTCAAAACATGAAAGAACATGAAATTTTAAAAAATCATATATTTGATTATTAATAACATGCATATATCTCATCAAGTCAGGCCTATCAGTCCCTGAAACTGCTAAGAGATGCTTATTAAAACGATCTTGAATTCTAGCAGACACAAGTATTAACTGAGAATATAGTTAGAAATGTATTTACCAAGACTCCAACTATAGAACGGAGTCCATGAACTCTAGGATTTAACAGCCACCTGAAGCAGTTCTGACGGGTGATCCACAGACCCTCTTTGAAAATATTATCTGCTTATAAGATGAACTACTCCTTACTCCTAAAAAGTAAATTCTGGTTTCACTGATTAACTTTACGTCATTGACATTAACATCAGATAACAAATACTATCAGAATTCATGCACCCAAAACCAAGTTAGTATTGTTTGGACATTTATTGCTGTATAAATTAGCAGCATCTAAACCATAAACCACATACTGTTTAACATCTAAAGATCTTTATTTAGTCTAGATGCAAAAACACCATTGACATGTGGGATCCCATGCAGAGGAAAGTGCTTTTAGATGTTCATTAATGAAGAAGCAATTTAGGAGAATGTTAAATGTGCCCTTTTAAAGGACCAAGTTCAAGCTGAGATTTAGCATTTAGCATTATATTAGAAAACTGACCCAAAAACTAAAGTCTTCACATTAATAATTTCAAAGTTATCAATTTCCAAGAATTACCATTTCTGGCCTGAAAACTACCAGTCCATTTCCAGCCTGAAAAGATTCTTTTGTTCGGTCTGAAATACCTGAAAACAGCAGGATACATAATGAGGAACTAGAAAAACAAAGAAGTACCTTGCTAACTCTTGAACGTTGAATTTCCAGCGAGTGTCAGGTTCTCGGAATATAACTTCATAGTTATTTTCAAGTGCCTGATTTTTCAAAAGTACATAAAACATTGAAGACATAGTATGTATGTTTGGGAATGTTTATGCTGCCATTTAACATTTAGTACAAAGCTTTCCTAAAATTCCTTTTGTTTAACCAGTAATCCAATGCCTTAATTTATCTTAGTGCAGTTAGTTCTTTCCCATACTTAGTCACTCTAAGATTACAACTCACAATGTTAAGTTTTGGTCAGTTTTATCCAGCATGTAGAAATTGAATATTTTAAAAAGTAGATTACTGAACTAGTTTAAAATATCCCAAACACAGGTGTGAGCAACAAACTCAATGAGTTCTCAAAGTCATTTATATGCTTATTGTGGATTTACTTCTGTCAAATGCCTTGTTCTAGTCCTTAAGCCTTGGTTTAGAACGTGAGAGTGCCACAGAAACATAGTTTATGAAGTAGAAGTGATTTCCATATGTTTTATATAATCATCCCTCCAGAAGTAGCTCTAGCTGCTATGCAGTAGTCTGACTCAAAGCACTGCACCCCATTTCCTTGAGTTTAGAAAACAATTACATTCCCCATACAAACATCCAAATATTCTTTGCATCCATAAATTGAATCCTGCTTTATCTCAGACTGAGCTTCCTGTTATTACTGTTGTTTATTGTGTTGAAAAATACAGACTGAAAAGAGCTAAAAAGATTTTCTCATAAGTAGATAGGATGAGTAAGTTCCGGTGTACTGTTACACAGGATGATTACAGTTGACATTGTACCAAAAAAATCAAAATAATTAGAAGAGGATTTTGAATGTTCTCATCACAAAGAAAAGATAAATATTTGAGGTGATGAATAATCATAATATCCTGAATTGATCATTGCACATTGCATACATGTACTGAAAAATTACTATTTGTCAATACTTTTTTAAAAATGTTAGATTTCCTCTTTATTCTTTGGATGGGCACTGCTAATTAGGGAAGGATTCAACTATCATATCATGAAAACATCTTTTGCGCCTAATACCTGCAAGTGGCTGAGAAAATTGTATATATATCCAGACAATGAAAAGTAAAATGCCTTCCCGAAGCCACTCTCAATCCCTAAGTCTTGTTTTGAGATGTACATGAATTCATTCATCTCTTCGTGGCCCTTTTCATTTCTCACCCACATGACCTCTTGATCATGAACTGAAAGAAACACAAAGTTGATGTTTATTCTTTCTTACATTCATCCAAGTCCCACAGTCTGGGCCTAAGTACTGTAGAACTGACAAAAGGATTGTTAAAGAAAAGCACACCTGTAGGTATGCTATTTTTGCCCAAAATGTAAAAAGCCTAAATATAGACTGCCATGAGTCCAGTTACACTTTACAGTTACCAGTAGGGATTAAGTAGAAGCTGTCTGCTTCCTGCCCTACCTTGTATGGTGGTGGGTGTTTTACCCTTTCTATACCCAATAGAGAATGAAAAGTTACTAGCATGCGACAAAATATGTCTGGAAAAAAAGACCCCCCCCCAAAAGGCACCTTAAAGTCTTACCTGTCCTGGGTCCCATTTCCTTGGAGAGCTGAGTTATATGTATATTTTTATGTTACTGCCTTAATAGGGTTACAGTGATAATCCTAAAATTATTTTTAAATTAAAATATTCTGTTGCCCCAGAACTCCCAGATGACAATGGTACATAGTACTGTGATCCTGAGTCCCAAAGGAAGTCCTATTATAACCTGTAATCATGGTTGTGCATCACTTAGTCCAATATTTCCCTGCAAGTTTCAGCGGAATTTCTCTGCATGGAAAGTAACCAGGACTGGAAAGCTGTTAAGAATTTAGACCCAGGACTATTTACCAAGGAGAATTTAAAAACTATGCCCTGAGGTGAGATTAGCATCTCAGCAAATTTCAGCCAATGCACAGCAAAGAAACAAAAAATAAAGCTGCTTTATCTGTTCAAGAACTACTGTTAGTAAATGTGAAGTCATGGAAGACCAGAAAAAGAGAAAAGAACAAATGTTTCAACTTTCTCACAAAATGTCCATAACTGAAAATTCAGAATGATACTTCTTCCTACCATGACTGCATAGGGCTTCATTTCCCAGGCGTGGAGGTTGGTATTATCAATAATAATGGGGGATATGCCATTCCTCATTGCTTTTCTTGCTGAAACACAATTTACATAACAGTGAACAACATGCAATAATCAGAGAAGGGTGAACATCATCCATATTTTGTCATTTTTATTACAGTGTCATTACACAATTTTAAAATGCCACCTATTTTGGAACCCACTGCAGTAATTTTTTTTCCCTGGAATCTAAAGAGATTATGCTATGGCATTGTGCTTTGGGGGGAAGAGTGGTAGAACTTTCAATTAAGCTTGTTCCATAAAAGTTACTCATTCTGAAGCAGCTAAAATCTATATACACAACAAGGTTTCCCAGGATTTTGGAAAGGAATTCATCACCTCTTTTCTGGTTCCATTCATGAGCTTCCTCCAAGAAGTCAGGATTGAACTCATAGGCACCATCTTCCCTGGAGAAAAAGTCATCTGTGCTGAAAATCATGCCCATGGGAAAGTCATGCTGCAATTGTCTGGAAATTGGAGAAATGAAAGAGGGATTTTTAAAATTACATGTATAGTCATGGTAGAAATGATTTCCTTCCATTTCTAACATTTAGCAGTTTATAATTCTGAGACCACCAGGTTTTGAGTTGTTAAGCTTCAATTTTTAAAAAGAAATACTTATCTCTAGAAGGCATTGCTCCTTAACATGAGGCACCAGAGGGCTGAGAAGTGGTTTTGTGTGTTGTCAACCCTTAAAACTGAGAGGCTGCTGGTCAGTGCTATTGCCTTCTGCAGCAACCAGGACTGACTGCAGATAAAACTCTGAGGCTAAGTTGAGGGTGTGGTGACTATCTTTCCTACCGGACACCCCATGACCATTCCTCTCCAAGATACAGTGCCTTGTGGAGACCTGCCACTGGGTACCATGCCCTATGCTGCAGCCCTTCCCTTGGTCCCTAAACTCTTACCTGGGTCCCATTTCCTTGGACCTCTGTTCTTTTATAAAGACTCATCTGAGATACTAGTTCTTGCTGAGGTATGAAATGTGGACAGAGATGATCTGTGATGTGTGTGTAGCATACTTTACATTTTAACAATAACCTAGACCAAATGGAAAAAGCAAAAGAGAAGGAAAGAGGTGAACCCATGCCTTTCTACCACAGGAAAAGGAAAAACCATATAGTATCTCCTTTAAAGCAACAAATCACAAGAGAGGTAGTAAGTCTGTATAAAAAAAGACTTCAAAGAGAAGATAAGGGGACAAAAAAATTAAGATGTGTTATGTACACGTACCAACTTCCCATGATGAATATTATCCTTATATACTGTAAACGTATTAATTTAAAAAAATTTTTAAAGAGAAGACTTTCCATTTGAAATCCTTAGAGTATTTGCCATAAGGTGGGAATTATGCCAAGAGTACCAGGGGAGTTGCAATGCCTCCTTTTCTTATCTGTAAAAGGTGGTGCTAATGAATGATAACAGAGGAGACACCTAGCACAGCAACAGACACTGGCGCAGCTAGTGTATGCTCCTGCTCTTGGTCACTACAGCACTCACCAGCATCATTCCAGCTTCCAATCAGATCCAACTGGCAACGGAAAATATGTGGATACACAGTCAGGGTCAGCGTAGGAAGATAATTACAAGTTAGAGGAGACAAAAACATTGGAGAATGACAAAGTCAAGAAATGCAAAGAGAAAGCACAGCAGTTTAACTCCCTTCCCTCCCTACTTTGCTCTCCATCAAGAAGAATGATCCTAATCCAGAAGGAACATGGTGCTGCAGATAACAAGTGAGCACCTGAGTTTTCCTGCCAGAGCTGGGCTCAATTCTTGACTCACTATCTAGTCATGTGACCTTCTCTCTAAACTTATATTCCTAACTAAAGCTCAGATAATCCCTACCTACTAAACAGAGCTTCTGCTAAGACTCAAATGAGTCAAGGTATAGGAAAACATAATGGTAAGGCACTTTACGAATATAAATTACTGTTGTTTTGTTAGTAATAATAATGAAGCCAGTCACCCAACCCATACAATTTACGTGCCATAGTAACAAATTACATGAGAGTGTGTATGTGAAGAAATCTTTACAGCAATGCACTGGATGAGAGAGATGAAAGAACAAAAGAGAACAAATGCCTTGATTTTCAAAAATGAATAAATTCACATTCCAGAAACAGTAAACAAACATCTCTGCCAAAATCTTGCAGAAGGCATGATAGAAGGCAGCTTAAAGAGCTGAAAAAGTATATAAATCAAATACATTTTCTTTTTAGTGGGCTATGTTTACACAGGGAAAACCAATGGACATGATACCTTGATTTAAACAGTAACCTAATAGTATACCTTGGTAGCTTTATGAAAAGATGTAGATCATAAGATAATATATTCTATTGCCCAAAGTCTTTTAGTTAATTAGCCAACATATTAAACATTTATTGAGCACTTAACATATCCCAAGTACTCTGTGAAGTGTTAAGGCACAAAAATAAAATACTGTAGATGCTTTCAAGAATTCACAGCCTAGCCAAGGAGCCAGGCCCCGCACCGTGGAGTAAAGGACTCAGAGAACTTCAGGTCAGGAACAGGTTCTGTTGAGGAAAGCATAGCAAAGGAGATAACATTGAACTGGACCTTGAAGGTTTGGGATTTTTATCTCTTGTGGGACAAGTTAAGAGAATGGGAGGTAAGAGAAGGAAGAAGCTAATGTTTTTTGGCTTGTTAAGAGTGAGCCTTCAGGGGAAAACAGGAACAAAGTCATTAAGAGTTAAAAGTGGCAAAATTATTTGTGAAACATTGGTTTCAGTTCTGGGTGCCACAAATTTAAAGTGAAATATGGCAAGCTGGAAGAAGTCCAGAGAAGAGTGACCAGATAAATATAAGGACCACAAAACATGAAGTCATGTCAGAGGAACAAAGATTATGAAATAAATGTGGGGTATTTGTAAGGTGAAACAAATACTGAAAAGGATTCCTGATAGCTACTCTCAGATGTTGAGAAGTCTGTTTGTATAACAGAGAATGAACTTGTCTTGGAGTCAGCATTTTGGCTGAGTTCAATTGGGCAGTTCTGCTGGTCTTGCCTTGAGTCATTTATGCAACTATAGTCATACGACAAACTAAGGGAGACAGAAAGCTTTAGGTAGGCCTCATGACACCTCAGGTGGTGCCAACCCAGGCTTCTTCACAGACCACAGGACAGCAAGAGGGCATGAGTGGATGCTACTAGGCTGCCACCACATTGTGTTGGTCTCAGTGAAGCCACTTTCCTGGCCTATGCTGAAGGGGTAGGAAAAGAGTTTCTACTTCTTAATCAAAGTGTAGCAAAGAAAATGTGGCAACTTTTAATTGACCACAGATATAAAATATAATATGTAAGAAAGGAAAAGTTAAAAGACTAAATGAAAAGAGAGGCTCATAGTTTCCATAATAAATGTCTATTATTTGACCTTAAAGACACTGAAACTGAAAAGTCCAAGTCATAAATCTACATCTTAAACTCCAATACAAGCAATTATTATAAAGACACCTTAGAAAAAAATTTAAGGATAGTAGGAGATGCATTTTCAGATACATATATTTTACTGGGCTTTTTTCCCAAGTATGTACATTTTATATTTGTGAACACTGTAAAGTTTTAAAATTATTTCTATCTATAATGGTATTTAATCTAAATAATGAAAGCTACATTCAGAGGTGAAATAAGAGTGTGTAACTTTATTTCCCTATCTCACATATAATAAACAACTATGGGAACTGATTCCAAGATTTATTTTTCTTTTTGGTCCATATTTGATATTACTTCTAAATCTGGTTTCATTTGTTTTCCTATTAAGTCCACCACTCATTGGTTTGCTTTATTTGTTAAACATTTTCAGAGCTGAATTTTTCTTTTCATATATATATATCTTTATCTACTCTTGTTTTCCTCTTTATGGTTTATACTATAGATTAGAAGTTAATACTTTCTCTGGTTTCCTTAAAAAGACTTTAGAGCACAGAATAGGTATCCAATCATATTTTATTTTATTTCAATGCTATTCCTCTCTAGAAAACAAAAACAAAACATAAAGCTCCTGTCCTTTTTATTACACATTTTACCTTAGAGTAAAAGTTAAATTATTTGGGACCACTATGGTGCAATACCACTTTCTCATCACTTACTAAGACATACCTGACTGAGAGCTCCACAGTCTCCTAAAAACAGGCAGGCAAAAATATGAGTGTTTTTTCATCTTTATGGCTCTGATGCATTTCTTTCTTTTTTGGGTCCATATAATGTTCCTGAGTGACCATCCCTTCAAAACTTGTTTTGTCTTCACCTAAATGTTAAATTAGCACCAGGAGCCATAATACCATCTTGAAAATACAGGACAGTAAAACTTCTAGCTAAATACAGAATGGATTAAACAGGCGATCTAAAGATTCTCAAACTTAAATGGAAACAATAAATAACATTCCATCAGCTTCGGAAGTGATGAGGATAATGCCCCAGCTCTAGCCCTCTTTATGGTGGTCAGGAGCCTCATGCATTAGGGAAATTGAAAGAATGAAAATAAAAGGGAAAAAACAGACAATTATTTCTACATATCCTTCACCTTCCCCAGTTTCCCCAGGTTCACTTAAAAACACTACTGTGAGAAAAACCAGGTACTAACCTAGATCTCACAACTTACCATTTTTGTGTAATTATTTAATAATAAAGAATCATATAGATATCTATTTAGTCACTGACTCATTGAGAAAGTCCAACATTACTACTTAATTTTGACTTGAACCTTAACTATAGAAGTTTTCAAACATGTAAAGGTAGATAGGATAAGATAATCAATCCCCATATACTATGATCTAGCTTCAGAAATTATTATCAGATGGCCAATCTTCTTTCACTTACTTCATATTTCAATTCATCAAATATTCCCAATGCTCAAAATTTCCTGTTTGTCTCATTATCATTTTCTTAAAGTTGGTTTGTTTGAATGAGGAATCAAATAAGAGCCACGCATTATAACTGATCACCTTGCCCCTTAACTTGTGTATTTTAGTTTTCTCTCTCTAGTTTCTACCTGAATCCCCCAAAACATAATCTTTTTTTTTTTTTTTTTTTTGGTACCGGGGATCGAACTTGGGTCCTTGCGCTTGCAAGGCAAGCTTTGGAAACACTGAGCTAAATCCCCGGCCCAACATAAGCTTTTAATTTGAAAATGTTGGAATCTATACAAATGAGTTGTAAGCACAATGAACAGTGCTTACCCTTCACTTGTTGTCCTCAGATGTTAACATTGAGCCTCATTATTTTGCCTCTCTTATGTATTTTTGATGAAACATGAAAATAAGTGGCACTTTATTTCTAAATTCTGTATCAAGTATCCACCAAGAATAAAAACATTCTCCTGGGCTTGGGATTTAGCACAGTGGTTCTGCTGCCTGCCTCGCAAGTGCAAGGTTCCAAGTTCAATCCCTGGTATCAAAAAAAAAAAAAAAAAAATCCTCCTACATAATCACAATACTGTTATCAGATCTAAAACAGTAACTTTAATTATAAAATCATTAGATTTTTAATTTTAAATTTTTTATATTCCCCTGATGGGTCCCAAAATGCTTTTCATAAGTTTCAAGTAGTAGGAATGGTTATTAGGTCTCTTTGTGTCTTTTAATCTAGAACTGTCTTCAATCCCTGTAGTTTCCTTGTCTGAAGTTTGGACTAGCTGGCTTGAGAATGCCCCACATTATGGGTTTGTCTGGTTGTTTCCTCATGATTGGATCCAGGTTAAACATTTTTGGAAGGGAGGTGACATTTGTCTACTTCTGATTGCACATGATTCCATCATTCTAAGTTTGAGTACTTGGCTAAAAGGTAATATCGGCCAGACCTCTCCACTATGAAGGTACACTACTTCCTTTGTAATATTAAGTAATGTGTGGGTGTGAAACTGACACCACATAATCATCTAGTTCTTCAGCAACCTTTCCCTCAACCATTTTTATATCTTCTGCTTTGATCCCTGCCTGAATCAATTATTACACTGAGACTTGCACAATTCTGATTTTCTCATTCTGTAATTCCTTCTATATTACTAAATGGCATTGTCTTACAATAAAGAGCTTTCTTTATCCTTCTCCTTTTGATAATCTTTGCCATTGTTATCCTTTATTATATCCAAATTCTCTCAAAGTTGGCCAGTAGGTATTCAAACTGGCTCCTGAATCGATGCCCATGTAAATTTTAAAAGTACCATTTTTTTCTTTCCAATTAGCAAAGAAATACATATTGCATAAAATTTTGTAATGCAAAAGTGCAAGAAAAGGAAGATTCCTATGTTACTCCAACTAAAAATAACTAGTATTAACAGTTTAGTCTTCTTTCCAGGATGGAGATAGTTACATATCTCCACATATCTTTCTCATCTTTTGTTTTGTTACATAAAAACAAGAACACAACATAGAGCATAACACAGTTTTACAAAATTTTCTCACAGCAAATTACTTCCCACCTCATAAAATATTCCTCTATGACATTTTTAATGATACAGCCATTTATTCATATGAAAATGCTATAATTCAATCAATGCTCTATGGATAAATTTAGTTTTGTCCCATATTTCTTTGATTATCACCAGAAAGATATTTTTTTCTTATAATGGTCATTTATATATTCTTTTGTGAACTGCATTTTCATGTCCTTTTTAAATATAGCATATTTATTGGGAGGTTTATCTTTCATTCTGAATGTCAATTTCTTAGTTTACTAATTGCTTTTTAATTTTTTATAGTCTCTAAAGTTTAAGTTTTAAAAATTCTGTCTAGTTACATACATTCATCTTTTATTTTTACTTTATACCTTTGATGGTATATTTATAACACTCTTTCTCAACCCAAGATTATGTAAATATATTTATGTTCTATTACATTTTTCTCCTCAGTGAATCAAACATATTGTGTTAGTATGTCAGCATTTTTGTCTTTGATTCCTCTTGTGGTTGGCTGTTCTAATAAATTTTCTTTTCAAGAGTGCTAATAGATGATCAAAGGGCTTGGTTATATATTGTCTCTCCTTAACCTTTATAACAATTTTATGAGGTAATATCTTCTCTGGTTTGTAGATAAAGAAACTAGCACTTTAAGAGCTTAAATAACTGGCTTAGGTTTACTCAGCTTGGATGTGGTTTGGAAGGACTTTTACCCTAAGTCTACAGAGTTAGAGCATGTGGGAGTTATGTATTTTGCGAGCTCTTGTAGACCTGAAAAAGCCCTTCTGGTTGTCTTCCTTCACACATTAGCAACATGGAGAGAGCCAGAGTCTAACGTCTATTTTAGCTGCAGCTACCATTCTTAAGAAGTCCCCAGTGCTACTGCAGATACAACCCTGACATCCATATTCCACAGAGCAGGAAGAGACAAGGCAGCCTTGAAAGCTGTAGTGTTATAGTTGGGCACATTGTCACACCCCAAAATATAGAGCTCCTAAGGAAGATGGGGTAGTTAATTAACAGTTTTTGCAACAATGTTAGCACGACATGTCTAGGTATTGAATTTACTTTTTATCACTCCTGAGTCTTCAACTAAAAAATGTTTATTCTGATTATATTGACTGTCACATTTAACTACCATAGTACTGTTTCATTTTCTGCATTGTGATTCTGCTCATCCCCATCTCTTCTGAACATTAAAGCTCCAACATTTACTTTAGAATTTTTTAAAAAATCTGTCTCCTTTAGCTCCTTTTAAATTTTTTACTTCTTAGTCAACTCCCTTCATATTTCAGACTTACTTTTTTCCTTTTGTATCAAAGAAAGGAATTTTTCAATATAAACATAAGTTTTTAAATAGAGAAAAGCAAGAAATAATATAATGAACAGTATACTCACCACTTGGAGCTGATAATCATTAACATTTATTTTGTTGTCTTAAAATTCATCCAACTCTGCACCTTAACTCTGGCATTCTCAATACTTTACTGTACTTCACTTTCTCCTTTTTACAGCACTTATCACCTCCTAATGTAGTACATAATTCCCTTATATTTTACATCCATTTCCCTACCTCTGGCATACAAGGTCCACATGGGCAGGATCTGTGTTTTGTTCACTGGTGATTCCCAAGTACCTAGAACACTGCCTGGAACATAGTAGATACTCAGTAAATATTTATTGAATGAAAAAAATGGAGCATTACATATTTTAGATTTATTCATGCTGATATATAGACTTAGTCCATTCCCTTTTTTTTTGTACCAGGGATCAAACTTGTGACCTTGCGCTTGCGAGGCAGGCAGTGGAACCACTGAGCTAAATCCCCAGCCCAGTCCATTCCTTTTAACTGCTACATAGTACTCCATTATTAGAAAAACAAACATACCTAACATTTATTAAGTGCTTATTTTGTGTCAAGCACTATTCTAATGGCTTCACATTTCTCATGTAATGTTCAAATAGTCCTGGGAGATAAATATTATTATTAATCCCCATGTTACAGACCAGTGAGTGGTGCAGCTGTATTAAAAACCAGGTTTCTGGTCCCGGAGCTCCCCAGGAGACCACTATGCTTGAGTGCTACAAAATAAACAAACCATGTTTATTTATATCTTTCTCTGGTGACATTCAGATTTGCAGTTTTCTCTCTCATGTGCAAGTTTCAATGAGCTTTATTGTACCTCTCTCAGGCACTTGTGGATGATTCCTGTGGTGTGTACCCCAAGTGGAGTAGCTATGGAGTCTTTTGTTTTTTGAGACAACAGACTAGAGCAGATGCTGTCTAAAATTGTCTTTTCTTTAGAAAATTGTTCTGATAGAATGTATGTTCCATGAAGGCAGGGATTTTTGTCTTTTCTCTGGTGCTCTATTCTAAGCATCCAGAAAAAATGCCAGACACGTAGGAGAAAATAAATATTTGGTGAATGTATGAATGGCTCGTGAATATAATGTTCTCTTGCCTAATTATGCAAACTCTTTTTATAGGGCCCCAAACCATGTGAGGAGAATTTCTCATCTATGGATAATGAGAATTTTACCTAAACCTTAGATTTATCCCCTAAAGAAAACTGGGAGTGAAGATCTTCATAGATCCTAGTACTTCCTATGGATGCTATTAGAATCCTTCCAGAGGACTTTAAACTGGAAGCAGGAAACCCAGCTGCCTGAGAACAGGGCAGGAGCCCTGACTGAACACCATATGGGCAGTCTCCTTCCCCTGAGGCTGGTGTGATCTGACCTTTGTGGTGCTGCCAACCACCATGCCAAAGCTGAGCTCTGCCCTTGGAAAGACCAGCCACAGACACTGCCAGCCCCATATTACCAAGCCACAAAGCCTGAAGGACTCCAATGACAGTTCCCGGTTTGTCCTTCTGCTCACTCTTGCCTTTTACCCCTCATGCCTTTGAAGAAGGGCTTGTTTATGAGATCCAAAATTAGACTCTAGACAGTCCTTGTTACCTTGTCATTTATCTACATGGTCCCACTTCACGCTAACAGAAATCCTCTCAGTTTCCTGCACATGTGTAGTGTCCTTCTGCAGAATCTAGCAACAGTTCAGGTTACCTGCATGCATGTGTGATGTGTGTGTATGTGTGTGTGTGTGTGTATGTGTGTGTGTGTTGGTTAATTCAGTAATAGAATTGGGAAAGGGATCAGGCATACCAGCCTCAGTACTCTGTATTAGCTTTCTTCTCCCAAAATATCAGGTCAGTTACAGATAGCAGAAGACTAGCCACCCAGGAAAACAATCCTGGAGCTCTTTTGACTGATTCTGCAGGACAGCAGTTGCATCTCTGACCCTAATTTTGTAATTTTTTAAGTATAAATGTCGTTTAAAGGAACTGGCACATCAAACATTTTCAAATATAAAAGAAGTTTTTTGTGCACCTAATTGAATTTTATGGTGAGTGACTATTTTTTTAACTCAACTATTATCCACATACCATTCATTCTTTTACATTTTTCTTTATGTGAATAACCGCCTTTTTGTTTTGTTACTTTCTCAAGAGCCATGATGAAGTCTAAGCTCTTACCTCTTAGAAGGTTCTGGTATTGCATCTCATTAGCAAATCTATTAATCAACTATTTAGTGAATCTTACTATGTGCCAGGCCTTCTTTTAGGAGCTGGATAGAATAAAGCATCTGATCTCAAGGAACTTGCATCAAATCTTGTAAAGCTTACACACTAGCAAAGTAAATAAGCATGTGTAGAAAAGAGAAAATACAGGACAAAGATTGCTGAAGAAGTGCTACTTCAGACAGCACAGAAAGCTTCTCTCAGACTGTGTTCTTCATCATATCCTTAAGACATGGAGGAAAAAAACCTTGAAAGATCCTAGCAATGCAATGGTATTTCAACAGACTCCTTAAAACTGAAAAGTAGGTGGAGGTGCATTGGTTCAAAGCATACCTGGTGAGGTAAGACCATCATCAGATGTATGTTCCCCTGATGCTAATGTACTCATTTGTAAAAGAAAATGACTTCTGCGTGTCATGGGGATACTGTAATGATCCAATAAGCCAGTGTCTATAAGTGCCAGGCATACAGTCACTATTCCGTAACTGTGTGCTAGCTTTTTTGCTCCATTTTTCCCTTCCCCTTTCCCAGTTCTTACCTTGATAAAAACAGATAGCCTTCTCCCCAAGCCATATACATGATCCGATAGAGAACCTTATGAAGGAACAATTAGAAATTAGACTAGTTTTTCTTTATCACCCTATTTACTCAATCCCATTAGAGCCTGGTATCGTTAGGTAACTTAGAATGATAAAAAAATAATTTCTTATTGGGCTGGTCCAGTGTCTGAATGGCTCTAGGAAGGTGCCATTAAACAGAGATTTCACTGAAATGCCAAGAAGTAATTAAATTGAATAATAAATATCCTATCATGTGAGCAGATTTAGCCCCTTGGGAACTGGGAGTTGGTAACTCTTTCCAACGTATCATAATCAGAATAAATATTTAAAAATCTGAATCTCATCTTCTATTGCCCCCAGTGGTAACATATTAAAGATATTCTTGTTAATATTTTTAATTAGGAGAAAAACATATTAGTATTAACAATTAGTACTGACAATTAGCATTGACAATTAGCATTGAAGCTGCTTCCTTACTCTGATAGTTGAAATCCAGGTTAATTTAGGCCCGTAAGTCTTTAAGTGTTGTTTTTATTACGCAACAGAACAAAACCAGCCTCATGACACTTTCTTCAGGTCACTCCCACTAGCCTCTTTCTTTTATGTAGAAGATGAAGCTCTGGATTAGAAATAAGATCAAGCAGTTGATCAAGATGTTAAACTTCTCAGAGCTTCATGTCTTGGGCTTGAACTAGATGAACTCAAGGGAGCTTCTTGAGCTTGTACTATAAAATAGCCTTCCTTTATCTCTTTATCCACTTCTAGCCCCCTCTCAAATTGTGGTCCACACCTGTGGTACTATGTGGCCACAATTCAGCAAGGTCTTCTTCCATTGTCCCAACAGCTCCAGGAACATGATGATGATGTCTCCCGCATAGTTGGGCAACACTTTCTAGTAAGTGACTACAAACACATTGCACAACAGAGTCCTACTCATTGTAAACTGTAGGTAGCATTTCCATTCCTCATTCACCCTATCCTCCAGAGAAAGAGGCATTACAAGTATTCTCCTTAGTGAGGAGAGAAGATTTTGGATTCATCTTAGGAAAATCACAAAAAATTAAAATCTAGTAGTCACTTTCTGAGTAGATCTACACGACTAGAGATCTGGGCTGTCACCTGCCTGATGCTATATTTTGATATATGCAGACTTGGAATACTGCAAACTTTCTGTTTTGAACTTTTTATTTTGAGTGGGAACCCTGGCCTCATGAATAGAAACACCATGGTGCAGGCCTCCTGGCTGGGAGCACTGGTGAGCAGAGCATGCTCTAAAGTCAAACTATAAACCATTTAGTTACCCTAATTGGACCCCTGTTCTGCTTCCCATACTCCACTGTTTGTTCAGTTGTAAAGTATACCCTTCTCCTCACCTCTGTCTTATCATTGCATCGCATTAGAAAAGCATCCTTCTACTTTTTTTCTTTAATATGTGTTACAGGAGATGAAGCTCAGGACCTTGCACTTGCAAGGCAGGTGCAGTGCCACTGAGATAAATCCTGGCCCCTATCCTTCTACTTCTTTAGAAAACTCTAGTAATGAAGAATCACCAAATGGTATTTTTCTTGACGGGATGCATCTCTGTTATCCAGAAATGGGAATGAGAAAAAAGACAGCTGTCAGCAAGCATCCTTCAGCCTAAGTGAATCCACATTACAAATCATTTGTGATAGTGCCAAAAGGAACTAGAACATTGCAAAGATGCACCATGTACTAAGAGCATGGTTCCCAGACTTAGCTTACATTGATGTATAAAACCTCAAAATAATTCCAGGGAATTGACATGAGAATGATGATTTTTAATTTTTCAAATAAGGTTATTTTTTAAAAAAAGAAATAAACACCACCCTCTATTACTGCCATTTCAAAAGAACATTTTAGTTGTATTTTATTCAGATATAAAATAATGAAGTTCTGACACATGCTACAACATGGATGAACCTTGAAAACATTAAGCTAAGTGAAATAAGCCAACAAAAAAGGATAAAAACTATATGATCCACTGCATGAAGAACTTAGAAAAGACAAATACATAGACAGCAAGTGGCTTAGAGGTTGCCATGGGGGAGGAAAAATAGTGATTTATTACTTAATGGGCACAGAGTTTCTATTGGGAGGTGATAAAAAATTTGAAATAGACAGCAATGATGGCTGCACAATATCATGAATGTAATTAATGTCACTAATTTTTACACTTAAAAAAGGTGAAAATGCCTACGCACATACGCACACTAGAAAGCACAGAGGCTCACCCACAGATGCTTTCACTGAAGCAGAAGGAAAAGATAGGTACAGATCCAGTTTATCACATCAGCTACGAAAATAGTTCTGGATCATTTGTTGAGAGTGAAAGGGTTTTGAGATTGGAAATCTTATTTCTACCTAGTCCTCTATCTTCTGCCATGATCTAACCCTGGATCACATACCTATCCAGTATACTAACTGCTATGCAGCTTCCCAGTCAAGGCCAGGAGAACGCCAACTCTTTCCCATCCCCATCTCCTTTCTTATGTTGCCATTCCTTTCCACTGTTCAGCCACATCCTACTCTTCTTTAAGGCCAAGTTAAGGACTAATTCCAAGTACAGGAGACTCTCTGGCCCTGATCAGCCTTAACCCTCCACTGATTTCCCTTGGCCTTGAACACTATCAGAATACAAGATGCTACTGGACCTTACTTACCCACAGTAGAGTGCTGATTACTGTTTTCCACTTGTTAGTCTTTTGCAGGCACCTTCTCTTAACCTTATTTGCTATATGCCTCACGAAGCAAGTGCCCACAGTTTTACAAGTACTCAGTGAACATTGTTATTGTTGATTAATGACTAATAATGAATATTTGGTACTTTGCATACACATTCCACAGAGCTTAATCCATATATGTATAATCACGGGGACTGTGTTTACCATAGTATTTAAAATCTTCACAATAAAATGGAGTATTAACTCCATCTTAATAAAAAAAATCTACAGTACTAAAGAATCAAGTGATTTGTTAGTTCAGATGCTAATTAAAATAAGATAAAATTTAGTAAGTCACTAAAAATCCATCTCCTCAATGACAAAGAGCTTTCTAATTTATGTCCAAATGAGAATTAATCTAGGAAAGCCATGTTCTGTAGAAAATGACTTATTTAGTTATGTAATAAAAGCTTTGTCATACAACCTCTAGATGTAGCAATCATTAAACAAAACTTTTTACTTAATAGTGCCTTAATTTTCACCTTTAAAAAATTATAGGTATGTATGCATATATATTTGTTATAGGAAATCTGAAGGTAAGCCTATAACCCACTAGCTAAAGTCAACTATCAAAAGATGTTGATCTTTTCACACATTTTTCTATGAATACATATAGTCCTCTCTTAGGACAGAGAATGTGTGTGCGTGTGTGTGTGCCTCTGTAAGTTTTTTCACTTAAAGGAAGAAAGAATATTTTATAGGTAAAATATAGATCTGTTTCCAATAATGACTGCATGACTTATAAGCCAATCCTCTCTTTTTGTACATTTAAGTTATCCCACACTTTTTTTTATTGCACAAAAAAATTCTGTGATGAACATTCCTCTATCTTCACGGACTTGTCCAATTATTTCCTTAAGATGAATTCCTGGAAGTAAAACTTACAGGTCAATGTTAAGAACCTATTTTTAAAAAACAGTGTTTAAATAAAATAAAGGTGATAAAACAGATTTTGGGGCATACTAATTTTTTACTACTATGATGTGTTTAAAAATACTTAAACCAGATAAAATTCCTTTTTAAAATATTCAACTGTCTTTTTAAAATATTCAAAGAATTTAAATAGATGTTTTCTATATTCTAATCACATTGAGCTATGATAACTTAATACAGGTGAAAAGCATAGAAATCTAATATTGATTTGGAAGACAAGACATACCCTAATTTCAAAAAAAGATTTTTATTAGTTCTTTAATCAAATGAAAAATAATGGTTAAGCAGAAAAAAGATGAGCCCACATTTGTAAAAACTGATTTTCGCCAATTTTTAAAGAAAACATCTTTATTATGATGATTTAAGAAATACATATTCATTATAGAAAATTTAGAAAATACACAGAGAAAATGTGAATTTCCCAGGATTCAACAAACACATAAGATAACCTTACAGTTTTACTATTATCTATACATGTATATTTAAAAACAATTGGCCATTCTCCTCTGTCCCACCCTGCCCCACAAAAAATGGGGAAGATAGCTCCTTGAGGGCCATGCCTTGACTTCCTCACCATTTCATCCTCACTGTGGGGCTCCTGTCTTGCTGAAATATGGCCCATTTCCTTGCTTACTTCTAGACTTCGATGTAAATGCACAGCCCACCCCAAAGCATGCCAAGGCTCCTCTGTCCCAGGAGCCACCCAGCATGACAGGAGAGCTCAAAGTCAATTTCAATTGCTTCTTCACTTCAGTCAGGCTTCTCTCCCTAGTGACACTCTAGATGGATCTCAGCTGATCAACAACTGAAACAGTAACACCTCTTAACATTTATACAGCACTTTAAAGTTTTTAAAATGTGCCTTCTACACACATTTAATCATTACAAGAGCCTTATGAGGCAGAACAAGCAAATATTCCACTGGATGGGAGAGGAAACTGAGGCACGGGGGTTGAACAACATAGCTAGTGAGTGGCAGAGCTTTGATATGAAGCCCTAAGCTGACCGTAAAGCCAGAGCTCTCTATCCAGCCATTATTAGCCAGCCATTTTAAAGTCTAATAACTGGAAATTAAAAGCCAGAAGGATTTTGATTAAATCCTCTCATTTAATCACTCTTAGTAGTCACATGCAAGGAAAAGCTAGGTAATTGCACAAAGTCACCAGCTAGTGAATGACAAATTATAGTAGATCTAAAGGCATGATCTTCAAAGTTCCAGGCCAGTACTCAGAGATGTTCTTTAATAAGCTGGTCTTTCATCATGTCTCTGCTTAGTCAAATGTCAATCAGGAATTGAAATCCTAAAAGGGTAAAATATTAAGACAGAAGGGACCTTAAAGACCACACCACTCACTTTAGATGAGGAAATGTGAGGTCCAAAACCCTTATGTTCAGCTCAGTAATCATGTTATTGGTCAAAATCAAACCTGGCCAAAAATGTTTACTTTCTTCTTTGACATTAGGTGTGTGTTAGATTAGGGTTCACAAAGTGAAAGTGAAATCAAACAGGATTTGACATCCACAAGATACTTTGTTGGTAACAGATGTACCCACCATGGCCATATCATAAAATAACCAAGTAATGCTGGGTCCTAAGGAGGCTCCCCACTCTACTGCCATCCTCTGCTTTCCCAGGAACTACAAGGGACACCTACTGAAAATTGTCTGTGTCTCAGAAAAGGGTACCAGTGGTCCTCCAAAAGTCTGAAGTCTTTGTAATCTGCAAATGTGTGTATTTTGTCTGTCTGTTTTTGGCTAAAGGCTTCTACTCCACAAATCAACCAGAATCCTAATTAAAAATGGCAGCATCTCACTGAGGCTGTCTCAGTTCCCTCATACCCAAACGACTCAGACCCTCATCCTAAAGTCATTATCTGGGCCCCCAAGGAAGTCAGCACGTGACTGTAGGTTACCTCAATTTTTCAACAGTTCCATCGTCCTGTGGCTAGCCTTTTCTCTCCAATGACATGGAAAGCGGTGGGAGGGCAAGGGACCACTTTCGATTACTGAATATCTATCAGGTGCCAGACAACGTTCATGGCAGGATAAGTTTCGGTCCTTACCTTTAAGAAACTTGCAGAAGGATAAACAAAGCCATGTGCAAAACTAAGCACGGTTACAGAGCTGTAAACAAAGGGCCATAGAGCCCAGAAGAGGAGCATCTACTGGCGGGCGAGGCAGCCACCAGGTAAGGGTAAGGTAACAGAGCTGAGTTTTAAAAGGCTAGTAGAATCAGTCGAGCAAACGGAGGCGGGGGGCAAGCCAGGCAGGAGGGCCAGGGTCAGCCATGGCGGGGAGAAACAGCTGGGTTTACAGAAGATAAACAGTTCAACGTTACTGGAAGGTCAAGTACAAGGCAGCGAGTGCTGGGACTTCGAGCTGAAGCAGTGGGCCTAGCAAGGTGGCAGCAGGCAATAAGCCCGCGTAATTCTCGCTGACCTGGTACCAGGACGGTTGCTTACGCAACTCCCAAGTAAACGAATTTGGGCGCCTATGGCCAGGCTGTCAGTGACAGTCGGTAGTGGTGCCAGCCCCCTCCCCCATGTACCTGTGCGCCTTCGCAGCTCCCAAAGCAAACTCAGGCTGCCTGAATCCAAGCAGATTTTCAAAGCGGGCCACAAGCCCCGGGCCACTGCCTCTGCTGCCCCAGACCCCCAGTCCCCGGAACCCTCTCGTGCATTCGCTTCGGTTAAAATGCCTGTTGACGCACTGTGGCGGCTGCCTGCGCTCTAGAGGGCCGCCCGGCGGTTTTCTCTGCAGTCGCCACCGGGTTTTCCCGAAGAAGAGTCCCTGCTGGCCTCCCCGATTCGGGGCTGGGGAGGCTGGGGGCGGCGAAGGCTGCCTCGGCCAGGCTGGCACCAGGCCGGCAAGCCGCGGGGAAGGGCCGGTGCCCTCGGGGGCTTGCGCAAGGCGCAGTGCCGAAATCCGTCCTCCCGGGGAAGCGCAGCGGGAAACAAGATGAGCGCACTCCTCTCCGAGGGCGGCCAGGGGCGCCAGGGGCGGTGGCGGTCCCCGGGGGCGGGCGGCGGCGATCGGGCTCCGCGCGCGGCCAGGCTCGGGCCAGGGCGGGCGCCCGGGGTTGGGGCACCCGGCTCCGGGCCAGGAGCGCGCTGGGTCGGGGC